GAGACCAGAGAAGCATTAATTATAGAGAGAAACATTTTATTTACCTACCGGAGCAGATTAAGATGAGGACGTCTCACTTAGATCGTTGTCGCTGGTTTCATCATCACCCAGTTACCCATCACATTTAGTGAAGTGGACCCAAGCGTTAGCGTGCGTTCTCTCTACCATGCTGCTCTGTTTACAACTGGCTCGCAGCGAGCGACGACATAACGCTCTTGCGCATGCGCAGCGGTCTTGGCAAGTTCTCGTTATGAAGGACGGGTACTGAAACGAGGCACCGTTTGAAATGACTTGAATCGGTGCTCAGTCAGTACTATGGAATTCGATCAGTACCTTAAAAAGTACCGAATAATCAGATACAGCACCTACTTTCCATTTGGGTTTATTAAAGGAGCTTTTATATGATTAGAATCTGATTTCCTCAAAACCTCATTGAAGTTTGGACCTGATGGCACTGCGACCTGGATCTGACCCATAGCTCTGGATAGGAGCCATCTCTCAGGGCTCTTGTTGATTGGTCGGTTGGTGCTGTTGGGCTCTTCGTGGGACCAGTTGTGTAATCCTGTTTTTAGACTCGTCAGGCAGGTAGAATCTGACTGAACATGCAAATCCAGCCTAGCTGTCAGCTACTAATCAAAGGCTCAATGGCACTTCAGCACTGTGGAATAGTTCAGACCCTCAGGGCCTCATCCTGCCAGGTTCAGGTTGCTCCAGTGGTATACCACATCCTCAACACCAGTGCCAGAACCTGGTTGAGTGACATTATGTAAACCTGCTGCAAATCAGCACAAGTTCCAGCTTGAAACCGTTCCAGTTGCTGCAAAAAGTCAATGCAACAGCTCAAACTAAATTGGCTTTAGCTAAAGAATTTGAATTCTGCACAGAAGAATCATCTTGTTTTTGAGTCATAAGGTATGGGGATTGTGTCCCTTAAAGGGAGAGTCTGGGAATTCTGTAGTTAGTACTTCACCTGCAAGTAGGCAAAGAGTCACTGGTTCATACATCAGGCAGCTCTCTCGGAGCAGTTGAGTTCAGCTACTTTGAGACCAAAGCAGAGTTCTGTTGTAATAAAACAAGTCAAAGTGAAAAATAATGAATGTGAAGTTGTTTAAAGAATTTATGCATCCGACTCTTAACAGTGTAGACATTATATAGGTAGACAACTTGTAGAGTGACACTGCCTATTGAAACGGATAACTGTGTGGTTGCCATCTTGGATGGGTCCCCATGAAACCCCAGTGCATTTATTTTTACTGAGAAAGGTGTTCAACCAACTACAAAAACACATTTTTATTATACTTTTTAACAAGTCAGACATATGGTATGACACGATAATACAAATGTAAATTAAAGCATTTTATATTTGAATAAAAATAGTTTCATTGATCATTTGAATGTATTTCACCTGCCCCCCCTTCTCTCTCTCTCTCTCTCTCTCTCTCTCTCTCTCTCTCTCTCTCTCTCTCTCTCTCTCTCTCTCTCTCTCTCTCTCTCTCTCTCTCTCTCTCTCTCTCTCTCTCTCTCTCTCTCTCTCTCTCTCTCTCTCTCTCTCTCTCTCTCTCTCTCTCTCTCTCTCTCTCTCTCTCTCTCTCTCTCTCTCTCTCTCTCTCTCTCTCTCTCTCTCTCTCAATGAAACTGAATGAAAAGGCACACACACACACACACACACACACACACACACACACACACAGGCTGAGGACCTAAAACATTTGAATAAGAATCCAATCCTTTTGCACAGCTTTGTGCATGTAATAATAATAATAATAATAATAATAATAATACATTTTATTTCAAAGCGCCTTTCAGGACACCCAAGGTCACTTTACAGAAAACACGTAATAAAATACAATAAAACAATAATAAAACCCAAACAAGAAAAAACAAAGAGAGAAACAGTTCAATAAAATCAGAGGTTGTAGGCAGATTTAAACATGTGTGTTTTGAGTTTTGATTGGAAAAGGGTAAAACTGTCGATGTTCCTGATGTCTGGGGGAAGTGAGTTCCAGAGACGGGGAGCAGAGCGGCTGAAAGCTCTGCTCCCCATGGTAGCGAGTTGGGCAGAAGGAACCGCAAGATGGATGGAAGAAGAAGATCTGAGAGAATGGGATGGGGTGTGAATACTTATAAGGTCTGAGATATATGGAGGAGAGAGGTTGTGGATAGCTTTGAAGGTATGGAGGAGAATTTTGAAGATGGACCTGAATTTAACTGGGAGCCAGTGAAGCTGCTGGAGAACCGGGGTGATGTGGTGAAAGGAATGGGTTCTGGTGATAATACGGGCTGCTGAATTCTGGACCATTTGCAGTTTATGAAGGAGTTTGTTGGGGTGACCATAAAGAAGTGAATTGCAATAGTCGATACGGGAGGTGACGAGGCTGTGGATGAGAATGGCGGCAGTGTGAGGGGTCAGTGAGGGACGCAGACGGTTAATGGAACGTAGATGGAAGTATGCTGACCGAATTAAGTTATTAATGTGAGCTTGAAAAGAAAGTGAGCTGTCAAGAATGACACCCAGACTCTTGACGTGAGGGGAGGGGGAGACTATGGCGCTGTCAATAGTTAAAGAAAAGCTGTCAGATGTTGAGATGGTGGAGTTAGTGCCAACTAGAAGAAGTTCAGTTTTATTGCCGTTGAGTTTGAGGAAATTAGAGGTGAACTATGATTTTAGAGGTGAACCATGATTTGATTTCAGAGAGGCAGAGTGTAAGGGAGGATGGTGGGAGAGTTGAGTTGGGCTTACTGGAAATGTAGAGCTGGGTGTCATCCGCAAAGCAGTGAAACTGGATATTGAATTTGCGGAAGATTTTGCCGATAGGGAGGAGGTATACTATGAAGAGGAGGGGCCCCAGGACAGAGCCCTGGGGCACACCTGACTTGACTGGGGAGGGTTCTGAGGTAAAGGATTTTAACTGGATGAACTGAGTGCGGCTAGTAAGGTAAGATTGAAACCAGCTGAGGGGGGTGTGAGTGATGCCTAAGGAAGAGAGTCTATTGAGGAGGATGGGATGAGAAATGGTGTCAAAGGCCGCACTCAGATCGAGGAGAATAAGAATAGAGATTAAAATAGAGATGTAGTCACTCTAACTTGCAGGCTGGTGGAGTCGTGCAGCCTTAACGCCGGAACACAGCCTGCAAGTCACAGAGGGACTACATGCACAAAGCTGTGTAAAAAGATTCTTTTTCAAATGGTGTTTCTGAAATAGAGACAACAAATAGCAAATGTGGACTGGTGATCTTCCTCTGATATTAAGCAGAGGCTGCTGCAGAGTGCATGTCTGCAGCTGGTGGGGCACAGGCTCATCTTGTGCTGCCATGTTCCCTGACCCACTTGGTGAAACACCACAAGGAACCATCGGAATACCTGTCAAGTTTCTCGTGTTTTATCGTTCTTCCCATTTTAGGATTTTCCTGGAAATTATGAGACAGACGGCAAAGTGTTCTGCAGCCTCTCTTAAAAAGCATTTACTCAATTACATTAGAGTCAAGCCAAGCTAACAACATTTCTAAAGCACCTTACAACAGTCTAAAACTGGCCAAAGTGCTTAACAAAGAGATAAAAACAAATACAATGGTAAATGGCCTGTATTTGTGTAGCACCTTCTTAGGGTTCTACAACCCCCCAAGGTGCTTCACAACACAATCAGTCATTCACCCAATCACACACTGGTGATAATGAGCTACGATGTAGCCAGGTGCCCTGGTGCGCACTGACAGAGGCAAGGCCTGCTGTGCACAGGAACCACTGCTCCCTCTGACCACCACCAGGTGGGTGAAGTGTCTTGCCCAAGGACACAACTATAACAACAGACTGAGCGGGGCTCGAACCTGCAACCTTCTGATTACATGGCGAGCACTCAACTCCTGTGCCACTGTCACCCCAATGATGCAGATGAAACTAACCTGCAATGGCAATGTACACCAAAGCTTAGGGGATGACATGAGCTCTATCTATCAAACTTTATTTATTAAGCACATTTAAAGCACCGCATCGCAGCTTACCAAAGAGCTGGAAATGAGGGAAAGATAAAACAATCATAACCGAGCTGATAAAAGGCTGTGTAAAACAAAGTGGTAAAGGATCAATAAAGAATTTTTAGAGACCAAAAAAATAAATTAATGTAAAATAATCAGCAAACCAGAAACAAAACTTGCGTAAGAAAACAAAATGAAGACAGAGAAAAACAAGGAAAATGAGAGAAAGGGAGAAACATCTTCAAAGAGCCTCAGCGATTGAAAGCTACGCTAAAATAATGACTTTTTCAAAAGTGATTTAAACCTATTGAGAGATGATGCCTTCCTGATGCAAAGCGGGAGAGCATTCCATAATTTGAGGGCCACGTATTTTAATGCTCGGTGCCCCCGTGAAGACATCTCCGGAACACACAGAAGCTTGAGGTTGACAAAGGAGAATGAGCTGGGACATAGGAAGGAATAGGAAGGTGAGTCATTTGGTAGTGAATGGGATGCCTCTATAGAAGCCAAAATGTTACATTTCAACCTTTTTGCATTCTGCCAAGCTAGAAAGCATTTGCCCCAATAGTACAGGGTTAGCATAGTCCAAGTAAGAGGTGATAAATGCATGTACAACTCCAAATGGGGTCTCTTCTGTATAGCTATTAACCTTGTTAGAGGGCAAAATATGAAAGCAAATAAATAAATAAATAAATAAAATCTCACTGTGGCATTGATTTGTGGTGACATTAATCTGAATCAAGTTAGTTTGATCGCCAGGCTAGTTATACAGAATTTGATAGGACTCATTTTTAGCTTGAGAACATTCATTGCCACTGTCCAGCAGCGGGTTTGACGGTTGCCACCTCGACAGGCGCTGACCACCCTGCGACCAGAGCTTGGGAAAGCCTCCTCAACGGTGGCACAGAACATGGCCCACTTGGACTCGATGTCCCCCTCCTCTCACCTGGACATGTTCAAAGTTCTGCCAGAGGTGACAATCGAAGCTCCTTCTGATAGCAGACTCTGTCAAACGCTCCCAGCAAATTCTCACAAATGTTGGGCCTATCAGATCTGTCTTCTGTTATCAAAGTCAACTCATCACGAGGTAGAGGTCAGTTGACAGCTCAACCCCTCTCTTCACCCAAGCATCCAAAACATGGATCTACAGATCAGATGAGAAGACAAGAAAGTTGATCATGGAGCTGCACCCCAAGGTATCTTGCTGCCAAACTGCATATGGATGTGTTTGTTATAAACAATCTATGACAAGCTCAGAAGTCAATAAACCTCTCTAGTTCAAATTGCAGGCTTTTCTTCCCAATCACACCTCTGCAGGTCTCAATGTCATTGTCCACAAGAGCATTAAAGCTCCCCAATAGAACAAGCGAGTCACTGGAAGGAAGACCCTACACCACCCCCTTCAAGGACCAAAAATGGTGGGTAATCTGACCTGCTGTTGATGCATAAGCACAAAAAACAGTCAGGCTTTGGTGTACACCCACACGTAGGAGGAGGGAGGTTACCCTCATTTACCAGAGTAAACTCCAACGTACAGGCACCAAGATGGGGAGCAACACGTATGTCAGAGTGGAGCATCTAACTCTTCTCGAGGTAACTGGCTCCTGTGCATCAAGGTGCATCCAGGTAAATCTAACAAGAACCTTTCAACTTTGCACGCTAACTCAGGCTCCTTCCCAGCCAGCGAGGTGATGTTCCACATACCACGAGCAAGATTCTGTGACTGAGAATCAGACCGCCAAGGTCCCCGCCTTCAGCCACCACCTTCAGTCACCGCCCATCTCACACTGCACCTGGCCCCTTTGGCTCCTCCTCTGACTGGAGAGCTCATGGGAAGGAGGACCCACTTTTAGGGCTGTGCCTGGCTGGGATTCATATTCACATAATAATTATTAATATTATAATTTATTTTTCTTTACCCTTCACATTAGGGAGGGTGGCTTCCCAGTGCCACCTATGGATGAGCTGCCACTATCGGTTTTGTAAGTACATAAGTAACTTACCCTCTTCTCTTTGGACTCTCACTCCTCTTGTTCTCTCTGTACTTCGTGGTTATGAGATAATTTCCCTTCAGATGAGAATTGGCCTGCGGTGGTGCATTTGAACATAAAACCGTTCAGATTCATGAAGAGTTTGTAGAGTTGGAGGGTTGAAGGCAGGCCTGAGGCAGAGGAGGGGAAGATGAATGAAACGGATGAAATAAAGCTGCTGAAAGGTCATTAGTGTGCTGAAGGCAACAGAACTGGTATCTGCAAAAACTAGTCTGAATCCTTCTTCATGAAACGTGTGAAGATCTGTAGCTGGCTGTCAGCACCTGAAAACTCTCTGGCACAGATTCACTCGAGATAAAAATTTAATTAAAACATTTGTAATGACACGAAACAGCAGCTTGCTCCTCATGTAGAGTTTTACTATGGATCAGAACCACCATCAGAACACACACACACTTTATTTTTTTCAATTTTTGTCCCTGCACTTTTTACCATCCCAAAACAATATTATGCTATACATATTCAATATCTATTTAATATAGTACCAGACCCAAGTGGAAAACAACCGCTTGTGTTGAAGCCTGTTTCCGTTAGAACCGTCCATAAGCTTATCTATTGGCTCTGCTGATACTTGCTAACATGTGATTGGCCGTTCCTGCTGCCACTCCACGTTGCAAACAGGACATGCTCACTTTTTTTCTAACTGGCCAGCTAACCGGGGGCTATTCCAGAAAGCGAGTTCAGAACTTCCGGGATCTCCTGATAAATCCCTGCTTGACGAAGCACTCCCCTCCCCTCCCCTCCCTGTTTCGCCGAATCCACGAACGATTCTCAGGTGGATTCAATCCCCTATCGTCATGTCCATAGGCAGCCTCTGTTAATAGATACTAGCCTGTCTGTGATAAGCCATCCTTTTATATAACTCTTGAAGCTTAACTAGAGTCAAAATGTTTCAGGAGTTCTGCTTGAATCTGATTTAAATTACCATAATTTCCGGACTATAGAGCGCACCTCAATATAAGCTGCACCAACCTACACACACACACACACGCCGCACTCAAATGCAAGCCACGGCGCAGCAGCCACGTGCAGGTCTCCGGCGCACAGCGCATGTACGGCCATAACATAAGATAATTAGAGAGAAAGACGCTACACGGAGGTTTTTCGTTGTTGTTTTAATTCAACAAAACGAATTTTAAACACGGGTGAACGTGCCTGCAAGTGTAGAAAAGAAAACCGCACTGATAGCATTCATATTTCTGGATGGTGATCAAATAAAAACAGAAGTGACACGTTATTACCGGTAATTTGCATGTTTAGAAGAAAAGAACAGCGCTGACACAGTATTACAGATTTTTACAGACGTTAGGACCCATTTCTCAATACTTAGGTCACATTAGCAAAACTCTACAGACAGTGTGCACAACAGAAGTCTATGTGGGCCAAACTGAGAATCAATTATCACTGCTTTGGCACAAAATGCATTGAGTGACTACATCTCTCAAATGTCATGAAGTCCCTTCTCACTCAGACACAACAACTGCCAAAAATCATTGTACTAACAGGACATTTTGCACTTGCTTACATACTGTTCACAAAACTGTAAAACTTATGTTCAAAACAATAACATACTGCAAAACTGAATACGACAGCAACATCCAACAGCAATATGTTATCGAAACATAAATGCAGTTTAACCAGCCACAGCTGACTCTAACTGTAGATGGAACAGCTGAACAGGTGTTACACTTTCAATGTCATTATAAAAGTAGTCAACTGCTGAATAGGTGTGTGTTGTGATGTGAACATGGACCCAGCCAGAAATGGAGAAGTGGCTGAAAGAGGAAGAATAGAGGCTGGGAGAGGGCGAGGAGTACGTATGCGTGGTGGCAGAAGAATAAGAGGAAGATCAAGAGCTGGAGTCTCAGATGAGATCAGAGCTACTGTAATCATAGTAAATCATGGTCTCTCAATGAGAGAGGCTGGTCAGAGAGTGCAGCCGAATCTGCAACGCTCTACAGTGGCAGCTATTGTTAGTTTTCCGGCAGACCAACAGGTAACTTGTATTCTGCAAGGGCATGTGACTCAGTTGCACATGTCAGATATAAATAATGTTATGTGTAATTGTTTTTGCATTTCTGCTTACTAGGACTCAACGGTTACCTCACACAGGAGGGAGAGGAAGGATGTTCACTGATGTGCAGGAAACCGCCATTGTTGTTATGGTAATCAGAAACAAACAATGGGATAAAGCTCACTGAGATCAGACACAGTATCTTGGCAGAAAACGTTACCTTTGCAAATATTCACAGTTTAAGCCTAACAACAATTTCTAGAGTCCTGAAGAAACATCAGGTCAGGATGAAACCTTTGTACACTGTGCCATTTGAGAGGAACTCTGAACATGTCAAGCAACTCAGGAACCAACATGTCCAGGTAAGAACTGTTACAGTAATGAATACCAAACACACACACAGACAATTTGTACACATTTACTACAGTAATGTAACAGCTCATGTTGCCTTGTGGATTGTTTTCAGAGAGTCATGGAGATCGAAAGCATGCAAACACACCACATTTTCATCTATGTGGATGAGGCAGGTTTCAACTTGGCCAAAACACGGCGACGAGGGAGGAATGTGATTGGGAAGAGCACCACAGTGAATGTCCCGGGCCAGAGGGGTGCCAACATCACAATGTGTGCAGCAATATCCACTGATGGACTGCTGTTACACAGACCAGTAACTGGGCCATACAACACTGGATGGCTCCTTGCGATCCTACATGATCTCTATGGAAGGGTTGTGCTAGGTGAGGAAAGGGATGTGGACAGACGGAATCAGCCATTGTATGGGACAATGTGGCATTTCACCACTCCCATGCAATCAAAGTGGTTTGTGGCCCATCCCAGAATGGAGTCACTTTTCCTCCCACCTTTCTCTCCATTCCTCAACCCCATAGAGGAATTATTTCCCTCATGGCGGTGGAAGGTGTACGACCATCATCCACATGATCAAATGTCCCTTCTGGATGCAATGTATGCTGGTGTCATGTTGTGGGTAATGGATTTCACCCAGGACATGAAGAATCACAGGAGAGGAGAGGTAAGTAAAATTATAAAAGTGATTTACAATGTGAAACAGAAGAGATAAAACTAGAACTAAAGATGCTGCTTCTATGATCAGGTACAGGGGAGTACCGGAATCTACGGAGATAAAAAGAACAGGAGGTGAGCGAGGCCAGAACCAGGACTATCAGAGTCTGTAACTGAGAGTTCTTACGGTCAGACACCAGGACTAGAGGAGGCGAACAGGGAGAGGTTGGTCCGGTGTGATGGTTCAGTGCGTGGGCAGGCGGGCAGACGTGGAGATAGAAGATCAGAGGATCCTTGAGCGGCGAGACGTGAGAACAACTCCAGGCAAGGTAGGTGGTGCAGGAACAGGATACTAAAACAGGATACAAATTCATTAATTCAGGATCACAAGGAACCAGGCTGATTCAGAGGCTACCCATGTGAGAGTATCAACCGGCGCTGGAGTTGAGTCACACCGCTCCTCAAATCCTCTGCACCTCAATTAGTGAAACTCCAAACAGCTGTGCAGTCTGCCGCGCCCACCTGTAACACAAAACTGAACAACACTTCACCAGAAGGTGGAGGCAAACCGTGACAGCTGGACGCCTGGACATATCAGCAGTAGATTGCCAGGGATGGATCAGGTATGCCAGAAGATTCTTTCCTAGGTGTACGGCCCTAGATGACATAATATGTGATGTGGATGAGAACCTGTGGCCAAATGGAGAAGACCGAGTAGATCAGCATATTGAATCTGTATCAGTGGATGTTGTGTTTACAAAGTCTTGTGTTTTGGAAGTACTTAGTGCAAAAACAAATACCATTAAAAATAAATGAACAACATGAAATATTGACTAATTCTGCATCATGTCTGATTCATTCCAGTAACATCTATTGTAAGTATGAACAGAGATGTGTCCTTGTTTTACACAAAAAAACGTAATGCTACATGTTGTTAGTGTTTTTTAGGTCTTTGTTTTGTGGGTGACAAAGTGTGTTTGTGTGTTGGCTGTCAACCTTTGCTAGTGTTCTTGAGGAATGTGTTTGAGACCTGAATGAAGTGTTTTGGTGGTTGTAGTGCATTTTGAATGTGAAATGAACGGTTTTGCCAAGCTGAAACTCAGTTAGGAGAACTGAAGTGTCTAGCAAAAGTGACATTAGTATTGAGAAATGGGTCCTAACGTCTGTATAAAAAATAAATAAATAAATAAAAAACTAATCAGCCCTGGATAATTAGAAAATAAAAACTGCACACAAAACATGCCTGGTTAGTAAATAAAACACACTTGCCTACCAGAAAGTCATTCGCTCTCATCTTCCTCCTGCGCACTAAAGCCATTAAAGTCGTCTTCTTCATTGTCGGAGTTGAACAGCCTCAGAAGAGCTTCGTCACATAACTTTTCTGTGGCGACGTCAGTGTCGCTGTCCGTGTTGCTGTCATCATCCCCGGGTGAAGCTGGCTTGAATGAGTTCTTCGCGCTGCCGTCTCCAGCGCTGAACCATGGATTCATTCAAGCTTACGTGCGGCAGCACTGTTTCCCTCCTTTACTGCCAGATCGATGGCCTTCAATGTGGCATCATATGAACTCATACATGTAGTTACCATGATGAGGGGGTATGGATTTGAAAAAAATTATTCATTGTGCCGGCTGCTTGCATGTGCTAAATTAAAATGAGCACTTTCTTTGATTTCCACTTTTGACTTCCACCTGTTTCACTTTCTGCTAAAGCGCCCCCTGGCAGGTGAAGGAAAATCTTCAGTAAAGCCGCACCTCATAAGCCACATGGTTCAAAGTGTGGGAAAAAAGTAGCGGCTTATAGTCTGGAAAATACGGTAACTCTATTGATCAGAAATTCAGAAAATAAGTGTAAAACTAGAAAAATTGCATTTGTTGCACAAATGCTGTTTGAATGCTGGACAGCTGAAACTGTAAGCTTAAGCCGCCGAACAGCTGAGCTGAAGCAGAAACAAAGCAGAACTGGCTAAATGAGCTGAATGTATTTAAAGATGTAGAAGCAAAAATCACCAACAAGCGTGATGTAGCTCAGAATATAGGCGAAGAATGGATCAAAATGCTAAACAGCAGACAAATGTAATCTTTGAACATTTATCAAAAACTCTGAAACGTTAAACAGCTGGCATTTGAATGAGAATAGTTTAACGGGTACATTTTTACAATTGGCTGGACTGTGAATTTAGAAATATTTGCTGATATCTGAAACTGATAGATTAACATATGTTCAGATTTGATATGGGATGGATGAAGGGTTGGATGAATGAAATAACGGGTGGATTGTTGGATGGATGTTAGATGGTTTATTGGATGGATGGATGGATGGATGGATAGATAGAAGCATGTCTGGATTTATATGTAGATGGATGGATTACTTACACCAAGCCGATCAATTTGATGTCTCACATGCGTGGGTGTGTAATTCCATCTAGCCAGAAGATGATTGACCTCTCTCAACCAATAAGGGAGCTGGGAGGGAGCGGGGCACTTTCCCACCTTCTGACGGTCAATCAAATTGAACTTATTTCTAGTTTTAAGTACAAACAGTTCAAAAACAGGAGTCTGTTAATGGCTCAATATTCTTCTTTTTATATTCATTCCTATGGGACTTGGTTAAAGTGATTTGTAGTTCCTTGTGTTGCCATGGTAACAGATGACAGAAGTCTGCATTAATAAAGCTATGTACAATAACACATGAGTCATTTAAACTTTGAATAACATTTCTATAGTAAAGTATGTTGATACAGTTGTGTCTAAAATGTTGTTAAATGTTGTTGCTAAGCACGTTGCCATGGTAACGCAGAGCACAATATCAAGTTAATACAAGACTCCTGGGACCAAGCAGGTTGAATTGATGTACCATACGTGTGGGTGCACATTTCTTTTAGGCAGAAGACGATTGAAAACTCTCAGCCAATGAAAGAGCAACGAAGGAGGAGGGGGCGGTTCCTACCTTCTGACTAGTGTTAAAATGTCAGCTATGCTGCTAGTTTTAAGTGTATAGAGTTTTAAGTGTATAGAGCTGGTTGGTTGGTTGGTTGGTTGGTTGGTGTGTTGGTTGGTTGGATGGATGGATGGATGGATGGATGGATGGATTCCTTAGGCCTAGCCGATCAATTTTATGTCTCACATGTGTGGGTGTGTAATTCCATTTAGCCAGAAGATGATTGACCTCTCTCAACCAATCAGGGGGCTGGGTGGGAGCGGGGCACTTTCCCACCTTCTGATGGCCAAGCAAATTGAACTTGTTTCTACACACAGAAAAAACAACACAATAACACAGTATGTGCAAGCGCTTCACCTTAAATTCTCTTTAATTCTCTTGTATGATATTTAGTGTGTGTGTGTGTGTGTGTGTGTGGGGGGGGGGGGGTCATTTTGCCCTGGCCCCCAAAATGTCTTGAAACGGCCCTGGGTGTGTGACTGAGTTTTGAAGGTGATCTGAATTTTATCAAATGTGTAAATATTACATGTGTGTAGTGGAGATATATCTACCTACATTTTACTTTTCAACACTTTGTTTTGTTTTCTTGTTTTTATTGAACTATTTTCCTGTCCTGTGTCTCTCATCTTCCTGCATCATTTATGACCACGTTTGACATACATATTTAGGTTTGTAGAACAAGCTTGAGATAATTGACTTACTGCTGGAAACTGCTGGCTTTTTGATTCCCGCTTCCTGTGAGCCTGCGGGCTGCTGTGAAGCTGTGAGCGAGGCAAAGCTGGCAGCCCCGCCCGTTGGAAACGGCGCATGTGGACCGACCGTACCAACTTGAGGAATTGGGGGGGGGGGGGGGTGGAGACTATAATTTCTCAACAATTAAAAACATATTGTTTTGTATTTGCAGACTAACTTTTATGTTGTGGTTTTAGAAGACAGTACAGGTTTACTGATAGCATTTATACATTTATAATAACTTTTATGGGGGGGACAACTTTGTGTGTGTGTGTGTGGGGGGAACGCTTCCCCCCCGTCCCCCCTGGGATCTCCGCCTACGCTCCTGTTAACGAGAGAAGCCTTTAAATCTGTCCCTCAGAAGTGAAATTGGACCTGTCAAACCTCTCATCACCATTCGAAAAGTACTGCACCGATTTGAAAAATTCAAAAAGCGTGAGTGGCAGAAGACTTTGATGATCATCTGTGCCGATTTTTATGTGCCTACCATGAACTGTCTAGAAGCTATGACGATAAACTTTTAGCTGTCTGAAGCCGAACTGAGGAGAAAATCTCTGTTCCTTTAACATGGGTTTCAATGAGACAGAATCTGGGTCTCTCCTCCTTCTGAGGCTTGTAGCGAAAGAACGGTAATACTTACAGAGAAAATGAAACCCATTCTGAAAAGCTGACAAAAATTCCTACTTTTTGAGTTATAATTTATTTTGGTCGTCCAAACGGTCTGGGGGTAGTAAAGAGTTGTTCACAGAAGATGTGAACGTCAAAACAGAGTGCGGGTAGAGTGGTGAGAGACATTTTTTTAATTTTAGAATTTTCTCAAACAAATGAACCGTACGGCCACAATGTTTGGAGTACAGTCAGGAATTATAGCTCAAAACGAAGGTATATTCGTTAGCTGTAAGCCAGCATGTGTCTCATTTCAGTCGGACCTACGGTTCTCTCGGGACAACGCCGGAAATGGAGCAAGGGAGGGTCACTGCTCCTATCTTTCCCCATTACAACTTTTGTGAATTTTTTTCTGAAAATTTCAAGTCGTACCTCAACTTCTACCTGCGATTTTAGAAAAACCGTAAAAGATATCAAAAAGCCTCTTTAATATGTTAAACAGGAAAGTCTTGTGAGTTTGTTAAACTTTGAATGAAGTCTCTAAGTTAAAAGGAACCCTATAGAGTTTGAGGTCAAAAAGGTGATAGGAATTTGCTAAAAATTGACCAATCCCATTCATTTCAATGGGAATTTTTTCACAGAAAAAGCTTAATAACTCGAAAAATTTGAAAGATATCAATGCCAAAAGTAATAGCCGGAAAGAGCTTAACGAGCTGAACGTTTTGTTATAAAATTGTTGAAATAGCTCAAAATTTGAAGAAGAAGAGGTTCAAAAAGTGTACGGAAGAAGAAGAAGAAGAAGAAGAAGAAGCATAAAGAGAAACAGGAAAACAATAGTTTGAATGCTTACCAGCATTCAAACAATTAGGACAATGAATAGGAATGAAAATGACAAGGGGAAAAACAGTTGAATTGAAAGTTTTAGTTTATTTTTTTACTGCCACCTGTGTACTTGACAGTTCTGCATATGAGGTGAAGGTTAACTATATGTGTTTCTTCAGTTTAAGTCGGGCCCGGATGTAGGCATGGGTAAGGAGGGGCAATGCCCCCCTAAAAATAGTGACTGCCCCCCCAAATGCGATGGCATGTAGAAATCCCAAATTTGAAGAGATCTGATGAAAAAGGGTCAGAGTAATCCCCCCCCCCCCCCCTTCAAAGTAGCTGCTGATTGGTAGATGCATAGGGAGGGTGTGGTCAGCCACTGCACTTTGTCCTCTGTCACTCACTTCACACGTTCCCAGACAGTCAGCAGCAGAAAACAGAGACGCGCCGTTGTTATCTGAGCTCAGCCACTGGTTGAAGTTTTCTTCTGCTGTCGGTCACTGGAAAAATTTGGTTACTCTTTCTCAAGGTTTTAGTTTGCCTCGTTCTCTTCTTTCTTTTGTTTTTGAAGTGAACTGAGTCGACATGCATAGGTTTCTGGTTTCTAAATCTAGCAACAGTGCTAAGGCACTAGCGGCAGAAGCCGGCTTGTCAGTGCTTCTCAACTCGCCACAACCCCCTGTGTTCAGGGCAGTACTGGAACAACGAGTTGCACAAGCACCACAGCCCCTCCTGCTGTCCCCGTCGCTACCAACCCAGCCGTCGCTGTGGGTGACACAGGCCTGAACAGTAGCGCACCATCCCAACCCACCGCTCTTGTTTTCCCCAAGCGCCATTTTGGGAAGAACATGCACTCATTTTGCCCTGCCTGGTATAATGAGAGACCATGGCTGGAATATTCAGTAAAGCTGGATGCGTGCTTTTCCCCCCATGTCGTAAGTTTGGGGGGAAGGACAATGACTGGGATTTGGTTTTCACAAAACAAGGATTTAATAATTGGAAAACAGCACTGGACAAGGACAAGGGATTCACAAAGCATGCATCAAGTCAATGCCACATTAAAAATGAAAAAGCTGGTCTGAAATGTCCCAAAGTGTGGCCACAGGGGAAACAATAGATAATTTAATAAGTCCCACACACAAAAAATAAAAATTTAAATAAAACAGATACTATGTAAAAACATTTGGAGAAGTAGTTCAGTTCCTAGCAGTAAATGAACTGTGTGGAAAGCTCCAGTGGTGATGATTTCTCTGCAGGACTGTTCTTAAAAATGGTCGACTTCACTCTGGCCAAAGACTCCAAATTAAATTAAATAAACAAAGACATCCTAGAAAATGCAAAATACACATCTCACAATATACAAAACAAATTATTGAAGCACTGGCAAAAATGGTAGTAAAAAAGATCAAGGATAATTATGACAAAGCAGATTATGCTGGGTGTTGCATTAAAAGTGATGGAACTAGGGACAGATATGGAGAATCAGTCAGTCATGGTTAGATTTGTCTGTGACGGCATTCCAGAGGAACACCTGATTGTCTGCTTGACCTCAGTCAGTTAAATGCTGAATTCATTACCACCCAAATCCTTGAGCATCTCTCTGACTCAGGCTACAGTGCAGCTGAAATGATCAGTCAGTGCTATGATGGTGCTTCTGTCATGAGTGGGTCAGGGGTGGGGTTCAGGCCTTACTGCAGAAGAAAGTAAGGAAGGATATTCCCGACATCCACTGTTACAACCACCAGCTGCACTTGGCAGTGGTCCATGCAATGCAGGCAGAGCCATGCGCAAAAACCTTTTTTGATCTAACAGGATCTCTATACTCATTTTTCCACTATCATTATGTTTCTCAGAACTATGACATTTCCTCCCTGAAACGACTGTTGGAGATCAGGTGGACAAGCCACCATGATGCGACCAAGTGCCTTGTGGAGAGTCAGGATGCTATTATGAGTATCCTGTCAGAGGTTACAGAGGACAGAGCTGCTGCTGTTGATATCTGTACAGAGGCATCAGGACTGTTGCCTCTGTTAAGGAGGCACAATTTCTTTGAAATAGGAAAATTCCTCCTAAAGGTTCTGGGTTCCCTGAAGTCTGCAAATTCTATACTGCAGTCTCATTTTGTTGACCTGTACTGTGCTTCAGAAGTAGTCAGTGCATCTCTGCAGGCTTTGAAGCAGATGAGAGAGGAGGAAAGTGAGGCATTAACCAGCACACCTGCTACAAGACAAAGAAAAACCAGCTCACTGCTAGCAGGTAGTGTTGTAATGTCCACTGTGGACCACGCAGAAGACTCCACAACTCCTAGCCAGGCTCTGAAGAGAGCTCTTCTCAACATTTTGGACATAGTCATTGTAGAGATGGAGACAAGATTCTCCAAAAGCAATCTCCATCTCATGAAAGCAGTTAACTGCCTTCAACCCCAGTCTTCCTCTTTTCTGGATGTTGACATGTTAAGACCTCTGCAGAAAATGACAGGAAGTGACAGTGACAAACTTTCCAATGAGATTCTTGTTGCAAAAATGATGTTGGAGAAAGAATTCACAAAGACTGGTGATGATAACAGTGAAGAGTTTGTAGACCTCTCCACCGTTTGCAGATATCTACATGGGTATAAGAATGCCTTTTCTCAGCTCCATCACATGTATGTTACAGTTTGTCTCAGTTGCTTTGGTGCATTTCTCACAACAGAATTGATCTCTGCACCACTATTAAGGCTTTTCTCAAAACAATTAGTGCAAACTGCAGAACATGGTGGATAACTTGCAAAAGTGAGTCACTTCATCAAAAAGCAAGTCGGTTGCTCAAAATAAGTAGTCAATGCTTCAAAAGCAAGTCCCTTAATCAAAACAGATACTATATTCATCAAAAGCAAGTACTTATATCAATCAAAGTGTCAGGGCTGTCACAATTACGTCATTACAGCAGCACCTTTGGTCACAAAATCAAATGGTCTGAACATGTTCTCATTGTGACA